TGCGGTCTGATAGCACAGTGCTTTGTAGAAAGCCCGCTGGGACCACAGGGTGTGTAGGGAGGATGGCTGTTGAGTCAGCTGTGCAGAAACAGAGCTGCTCCCTTAAAGCATCTGTGCTCTTGCCTTATCTGGACCTTGCAAATGGATCTGAATTTTCAACATATGGGTTGATGTACCCTCTCTTGTGAATGATGGAACTTACTGTTTGGTTGTTGTTGTTGTTAAGAAATTAATTTTGAATAAAAGCTTTGTTGAGCTGAAATGGGAGAGAATTATGTGATGTGGCATGAAAGGCAAAGGGTTATCTTTGGAGCTGTAGTAGATCAAGTGAGGAGAGTGTCTTTCCCCAAGGCTTGATAATGCGGTGGTGCCCGATGAAGGGAAAGGAGGCTGTGTATTAAGGAAAGTACCAGAGAAATGGCAGAGAAGAGAAACGCAGCTGAAGCTGGAGGACTGGCTTTTTTTTTAAACCAAACTGAAAGCTCAGCTGCTCCAGGATTCCTCCTTTTCTCATCCTCCTAGCCTGTTTGGAGGAGATTTGCAAGTAAAATTTAAAACCCGGAATTTGTTAGAAACTTTAGTCTCATCTTAACAAGTGACCATTAAAAGATAAAGCAGGTCCTTTGTGATTGCCTGGGCTTTGGTGTGCCTCTGAAGGATTGTATGGTGGCAACTAGCTAGCCTTGGGGGGGCATTTTCAGAAACTCAGTCCTCTTGGAACAGGATTAGTTCTGCTCCATTAACGCAGAAATAGGTTCTGAAAAATGATCAGCCAGATCAGCTTTTAAGGAGGAGAAACTTACAGCTTCTCAGTCCTTCAGAAATCTTCAGCCCCGCTGTCAAACTCAATCTGTGTTGTGTCCCACACCATCTGGTAACTGCTGTATGAATGGCTTGATTACCCAGAGTCCGTGTTACCAAACTGTATTATGTTCCCTTTGATACGTGAAGGATTGTAGTTGTGCTGTGCATGGAATCGTTGCAGTGAGGAAGGATCCTTTCTGGGGGTGAGCCACAGTTCAGGAGTATGTATCTGAGATGTGTGTACCACGTTGGCTCTGGAAGAGGCTGTATCCAGGCGAGTGTGTGTGAAAGTGTTCTCTCTCACTTTCTTCTGGGAAATTTTTATAAAGTTTCCTATTTAAAACTCACTGCTTTGCTGCTTCTGGGAAAGGGTAGTTGAAGATAGGAAGTTGGGGTGAGGCAGAAATAAATTTCCATTTTATTTCCTTGTTAAATCAGCTGAATTTGCCATCAAGAGCCTTGAAAAATTAAGGTGATGTGATGAATGTTTGAGTGCTATGTTAGCTCAGTGAATGCTCTTAGTGGAACAGCACACAAAAATGAGAAGACAACATTATATTTGATCCAAAGCATAAATTAGAAGGGCAACATCATCAAGATGAGTGCATCCAGAGGCAATGCTAGTGTAGAATGACTTTTTTCCACATTTACATTTTAAAACAGAAATAAATTTTGATTTTGAGGAAGAATAGGGTGGGAATGGTTATCTTCAGGTGCAGAAAAGGAGAGGATTTCAAATGTAGAGTGGTTTTTGTCTGACCTGTGACTATTCAAGTTTGATTAAGGTTTAGCAGAGGTGGGAGGAGAGCAGAGATTCTGCAAGACCTGCAGGTGTTTTTTTCCAAGAGACCAAAATAACCAAACAAAGGTTGCTGTCTCCAGAATAGTCACTGTTTGTTTGTCTACAGAAACTTGGAATGAAAAAACTTAAAATCACTCAGGGCAGCAGCAGCAGGTTCTTTTATTTTTCCAGACAGGCAGCAGCCAGCACTTGCTAGAAGAAAGTGCATTAGGCCTGTTCACAACAGCTCCACTTGAGAAGTGTGTGGTAAGGGTGATTCAGTTTCTAAAGTGTGTCATTCTTTGAAACAAATCTGAGTGGGAAACTGAGGATACAAGGGGAATCATTCCTTGCCCAAGGTCAGTCAAGGTTCTGCTAGGCAAGAGAGAATATTTGGCAGTAATTCTTTGTTACCCTCTTTTTGAGTTGCTAGTAGGAACTTTTCCAAAACAAATCTAGTCTGATGGTCTAAGTGCCTTATTTTGTAGTTTACTTTCTGTGTTGCTGCCTTTTGAATTAGACTTGGTGCATTTCCTACTTCTGCTGCAACAGACTTATTTAGAAGAAGACCAAAGAGTTCTGAAGTTTTTGGCCATGTTCACTTGAGTGACTGGTAGAGCTAAAAGGAAGTTGTTGGAAGGTTCTTACCTATTTTCCTGCTCTAAGATAATGTTAAACATATTTTAATTTAATTCAAATTGCTGGTAGGAGTTATGGCTTGGACCTCTTTGGCAAAGAGGTGTAGACTTTGCTGTAAACAGGATGGTCAAAAGAAAGAAAGAGACCAAATAAAGGAGCTCATCAAGTAGAGCTGTCTCTGAAAGAAAGAGCTGGGTTGGGCCCAGGACAGAAAAGCCTCCATCTGCATCAGGCATATCTGTCCTTTCCAGCACTACCTTCAAAAGTGGAAGAAGAAAAGGCTGGCATGTTGGTTTTCTTATAGGTATTTTCGTGGAGACCATATAATCTCTATGTAGCTGTTTTCACACTCTTGGAATTAATTGCTTATTTTTTCTAAGTGTTGTAAAGAAAATCATGATGATGGTGAAAACTTCTCAAGCAGTTGGACTTGCAGAGTGGCCAGAGATGGGGGATAGCATCTTGAGGCACAGAAAACAACTGATGTTAAAGAAGGTGGGTAGTAGAGGTAGAAGCTTTTAAGTATGTCAAATGCACAGGTATTATGTAGGCCTATACACTTCTCTCAATTCTCACTTAATTTGATGTCAGTATGAGGCTTGTACAGCAACAGGAATTGATTTTTCTTGTTCCTCCAAAGCTCTTGTCATTGTAATTATTTTTTCACTGTCTTTTCTCGCATTCAGACATCACTCTGAGCACATACATTCTCCTTGAGGATCAGCACAGGTTCTATTATTTCCAAACCTTTTCTATCTATTCACTGTTTTTATTTTTCCAACCATGTTTTCGCATTTTCTGTCCTTTCTTCAAGTAACTCCCATTTCACTTTTCATCTCTTTCTTCACCTTCAGTTTCATCAGCTAAAATAATTTGCAGTAGAATGTTTTGTGCTGACACTTTAGTGACATCAAGCTTTACATGGTTTATACTACCATGTAATCAATTATATTGGTCTTGGGGGAGGCAAGCTGCTTGGAAGTCTTTTCAAGCTCAAGGCTTTTAGTCTATTCTAAAAGAGAAATCTGTATCAGCTAATCTTGAAAATAGTAATAATACAAATCTCGTATTTGGGACAACTCAAAGCCTATGTATACATAAACTTTCTTTACATTTTGCAGTGTCTACGTATGTCATATAGGTCAGAAACATGTCACCTGGTCTGGATGTAGCTAATGGGTTCCTCCTGGGTCAAGTGATTCTTGTTTGTTTAAATTTCACTGGGCTTTGAGACCATCACCAGAACTGAACTGTCTGCCACATCCTAGATTCAGGTTGATCCAGGTGTCCCACCCATCAGGCTCTTGGCTTTTGTAGGGTCAGGAGACTGCACACTGAAGTGTTCCTTTAACCCGTGTTGTTCGGGTGTAGCACTTCGGCATCTTCAGAGAGCATTGCTTTCTGGCTGAGGTATAAAGCTCAGAAATGTTAATTCATACACCTGCCTCACACAGAGACAGCACTTTTGAGGAATTGCAATTTTCCAAGACCTTACAAATCATGTTTCTCATATAACCATGTGGATCTCATTTATATCCCTATTGAAGAGTCTTAGTCTCTCTGTAGGAAGAGCTTCCACGTACAGAGTGGTCATCTAGATCACCCTTGTTGATTTTTGCTGAACCTTTTTCAGATCTGCTCTAGGGAAGGGTATTAAGTGTAGGATAGCTTATAATAGCTTAGCAATGTGATCTGCTTTCCAAATAACCCTGAGCACTCAGTAAAATAACGTAGGTAAATTTTCTTCTCTGTTACTGAGCAATGAGCCCATGTCTCCATGGACCTGTGTGGTCTAACATCGAGCTCTTTCTCCTGGGTGGTAGTGAACTGTTTGGGGTCCCTCAGCATGTATTGCAAGGTTAGGATTGGCTTCCCCATATGTGCTTCATTTCACTTGACATTTTGTTACCCAGTCATTCAGTCTCTAGTTCTTTTGCTGCCTTGAATAACTGAGTCATTAGCAAGGTCTCACCTCACTGTTCACCCTGTTCCAGATCATAGACGAATACCAAATGGCACATCCCGGCACAGTGGCCTGCAGAACTGCACAGTGAACTCATCTCTCCTGTTGCAAGAATGGAAAGTTTACTCCTCCCACTTCCTATTTTTAGCCAGATGTTCATCTGCGTAGGGATTTTCTGAGGGCATGACTGCTAATAGTTCATGTCATGGCTGCTTACCTCACCTAAAATTTTAAGTATCTATTGTAAGGCTACCTCACAGAATGGACTTTCATAGTGTTTCATGTTTAACCAATACACTGTGGACTCATCAGTGAAAACACATCATAAATAATAACGTGATGAGAAAATCTTCAACTCTTCTATCTGGAGTGTAATATATTATGAATATTGGTTCTCAAATCAATCACTGATAATAAATGAAATGCAATTTGGTATAATTTAACATAGAGGTTCTGCTGGCATGCTGAATGAGTGACATGCCAATGTCAGTTCACCAGGACCTGCAGATGGAGTTTCCTGGGCATACTTTAACACATGCATTTTATATATGTTTGAATATACCGTGTTTCCTTGTGTGTACTTTAAGGCATGTATTTGGTACATGTCTTAGCTGATTTATACATGTGACTTTTCTTTTGTATTTCAGAAATATTTTATACCTATGAAAAGTGGTCAGAAACATTGCTATGCATCAGCAATTCTATCCAAGCGCTGACTTCATTTCAGTGGAACACCTGGATTTCCTACAAGTTCTTATTTCCTGGAAGACTAATTTAATAGGTTTTTATGAATAAAAGCAAATGTTTAGAAAGATTTATGCTTACCAAATGGACTTTTCTCTTCCTGGTGTAACTCAGGTGTAATGTCCTTGCTAAGACCTCTTTTGCTGGATGTCGTCCCAACGATTCAACAGACTGCTGCTTTGGCTCTTGGGAGACTGGCCAACTGTAACAATGACCTGGCAGAAGCAGTTGTGAAAGGAAACATTCTTCCACAGCTCGTGTGTTCATTGTCTGAGCAGAATGTAAGGCATCATTGTTTTCTTAAGTAATCATTATTTTTAACTATTGCACAGAGAAAGGGAAATCATTCTGTATCAGCTTTCTGCTGTTACTCTAATGTATCAATAAATGTACTGATGTTAGAGACAACACTTGCGTTTGAACCCCTGAGAGATCAATGTGTACTGTGTGCCTAAGTCTGACTTCAAATTAGCTTGACTTCAGAGTATCATCCCACCTTTTAATGCACTATATGAAATAAAATAATATCACTGTTATGTTTTTAAAATATTGAGGGATGCTTTATAAAAAGCCCCTCTTTAAAAATGAGACAGTTTCAGAGCTTTAGTGATAACTGACTGGGATTTGTTGATAGTACCAAATGCTTGTAAAATATGCTATAAAAACTGAACTTCTTTAATGAAATATTTCATGTGTCCAAATGTAGCCTTTTGGAAATCTGTAGCATGAGAAATATCAAATCACTGACAGGAAAATACATGGAAAGGTTTTAAACTTCGTATTTGTCAAAACTGAAGTGTAGTCACAATTGCCATGCAGATAAATCTGGTGGTGTCTCTTCTTGCCATTTTTCTTCAGGTTTTACATATGTTCTAGCTTTGATTTTTCAGTGGAACTAACCTAGATTAACAAAAATACTTTCAGATAAGGTTCCTAATAACTGGAAAAAGAAAGAGGCAGCTGAGGGTTAAGTTCTTTGATACCACAATCATGCTTAGGTTGCGGGTTTGATTTATTAGATTTAGGAGAAGTAGGATTTCAATGGAAATATAATTTGAAAAATGAAGTATTTTAATTTTCAGTTTTTTGATGGAAACATAAGTGTAAGTACTTATTGCATATTTTTTTGTGTATATGGGTCATTGCCTATACAATTAATCTAAAAGCTAAAGAAAAAAACCTTGATGTCAACTTACTGGTATAGTATGGAAAGAAAGTTAAAAGTTTTAGTTAGACAAGTTTATAACCATTTTGGTTATTTTATTTATATTTTTAAGGGAAGAAGGGGGGCAAAACTCTTTATCCTTGATTTTGGTTTGATAACTAGCCTCCTGCTAAAACTCAAAGCCTTGATAAATAGCTTGCGTACCCCGATTTATCTCTTCCATGTTACTGCCTGTGCTGTAGTTACATCAAGATGGCTGTAATTCAGAATCACTTGGGCCAGCAGCAAGATTAGTGGGAGGTCATGGAAAGCCTACTATGCCTTGGTGACTGAGGGCAATTGGAGGAAACTCATTATCCAGTTCATGCAGAGTTTAGCAGTTTATTTCCCATAGGCAAAAAACCACCCCAGATACGTTTCCATTCCACTCGCTCTTTGTGTATCATCATGTACATTTAAGGAGCAGGTTCTTTGAGCACACAGTAAATACTGACTACTGATTTATGGAGTATAGTTACAGGGTCACATCCCAGATCAATGTTTTGTCAAACTGAGCAAAATACAGTTTTACAGTGTGTTCTTACTGCCTGGGAATACATTTTGTCTGTAAATAAATCTGGTTTGAATAATAAAAACAAAGAAGTGTTTTTCTGTGCCAGGAGCATAATTACTTAACAGAAATAACAGTCACATATTTGCACATACATAGACTGATGTAAACAACTGTAACTCCACCAAGTTCAGCAAACCTTATGGTAGTTTACATTGTATAGGGGTTTGATCATTTGTCTGTGCTGTTTCCCTTATTTCAAGGGAACAGAAGTTGTTTAGTCCTTTGCTTATAAATTATCTTTAATGTACCTGCTTGTAGGCCTTAATTTAGAGGACTAGGTTTTTGTCATTAAGGAGTTATATCAGTACTAGTAAACCAAGGAAGGACAGGGTATGTGTTTGAGCACTGGAAGGTGACTGTGCTCTTTGATCATTAACATACTCTCTGATGTGGTTTTAGCCACTGCCAACTGTCAAGCTACTAGGCAATGCCTGGCCATGGGTTAGAGGATAGCACAAGACAGGGATGGTTTCCAGCAGTATAGATGAGGTCGTTGTGCTGTGAGGGAAGAGTTTAAGCGGATGGACACGGTGTGCTGTGTCACTTCCCTTCAGGGCCAGGGAGTGGGCCTGGCTCCACTTTACTTCTGTGGAGCCATTGCAGATACTCCTCTGTTGCTGTACCTTAGTGCTTTAGATCAGACTTTTGAAGGTGTTTGGGCACCTTACAGGATGCACAAAAGCACTCACGTGGTTCTTTGTTTCTCTGGACTTGATCCAAAAGGGATGTGGGCTTTGCATTAAGTTTTGGGTACTCCGAGAGTAGAAATGTAGCTCTGTAAAGAGCCCAGCCTCTGTGCAGAGCAGGAAAGAATCAAGGACCTTGGAATGAGATTAAAAGGAGCTGGCACATGGGGAGAGCCCTCTAGAGCTTGTCCATAGGGATGATCTGTCAGCTGCTAGGCTGGAGAGCACACCCTGGGCACATGGACTTGCACTCATTGGTGCACAGTGGCTTCACAAGGGAGGGAAACTGTCTTTTCTTGACACGTTGTCTCTGGCCATAGTACTTTAACTGGGCTCTGGATTTTGAAACTGTAAAGCAGGGGGGAAGAAATCTAATCTTCAGCTAGTTATGAAACTGCAGGAGGTTTGCTTTTGTGGTGTAGACTTATCTGTGCTTTTAGAAGAAACTACAACCACCATTGCAGTTTACAGGGAACAAAACATGCATTTGGTCCAGTACTGAAGGAGATGGGTAGAACTGAGACAAGTGTGTGGGTTTTGCTTGAACTTATGACAGAGGTGCCAAAGTGCTTAGTCCTGTCAAAAGGGAACTGTTTCAGGATACATGCAGGAGTGAAATTGCAGGCTGCTTGATCAAAACCAACAGTGTTGGCTGCTTGGTGGAATAGGTTTTCAGGATCTTAGCCATGGGCTTAGGCAATATTTAGGCATTTTAGGATTCAAATCCTAAACCCATTTGTTGGATTTAATTTGCTATGTCTCAGTTTCTTGTTTGTAAATGTAAACAATGTTTTCTCAGAGGTGTTGTGAAGGTATACACATTAGAAATTGTGAAACTTTGCAAGTGTCACAGATGGCTAGAATTATTTTAGGAGCTTGTGTTGCATAACCTGGTTGAATATGTTAAGAGCTATTGTTTTTGCAGTTCTTATCATTCACTAGTCACTTAAACAAACAGACTTATCTAGATAATTATCTTTTTCCCATATCCTTTTAACCCTCTCTTTTTTTTCTGTTTGTTTATGCACTTACTGCAAATTTTAGATCATGAGCTGTCTCAAAGAAGGATGGTAGGCTCACTATTTGTGTGATGTCTGGTGGTCCTTATTTGGATCTGTATGTATCGCTGCTACTAAAAAAAGTCTAATTTATGCATGTGTGTACTGTATTATGCTTCAAACTACTTCATGTTAGTAAAAGTTGGGGTTTGTTTGTTTTTCTACTTTGCACAGCGTTTCTACAAGAAAGCAGCTGCATTTGTGCTAAGAGCAGTTGGTAAACACTCTCCTCAGCTAGCTCAGGCAATAGTTCAGTGTGGAGCACTGGAAATGCTTGTAATTTACTTGGAAGATTTTGACCCTGGAGTCAAAGAAGCTGCATCTTGGGCACTTGGGTATATTGCCCGACACAATTCAGGTAATAGATTTCACATATTTCTTTCAACGTAATGCTATGTAAGAGTTATAATAAATTACATTATTGTAATCATAGAATCATAGAGCTGTTCAGGTTGGAAAAGACCTTTAAGATCATTGAGTCCAACCATTAATCCAGCGCTGCCAAATAAATAGGACATAAATAGGACAAGATGCTATTTCTTCACTACTGGTAGAAAATGTTAAATTTGGAATAAGAACCTATTCTAACTATACCAATCTAACAGTTGGGCTCATGACCAGGACATGACACTCTGCTTTATTCTTTTTCATGAAGAAATTTCAGAATCCTTGTACATTGGCAACTGTTACTGTGGAACAGAGTTTATTTTGCTTGACATTAGTTCTTGTTCTATATACATAGTAAAATGGAGAAGCCTAGGCAGAACCAAGTTTCATTCAGCTTATAGCAGTGCCTTCAGGATAAATATGCTATATTAATTGCACTATTATCATTAACCAGTGGATCACACTCTTCTCTGAGAGTCAGGAATAGATCCTAGAAATCTGATATCGAGCAGTTCACTGCTGTCTCACAAGCAGTTGTATAACTCACTGCCAGTGTCATGTTCCTATTTAAAAGCTGATCCACATGGTTGGTAATTCTTTTACCAGCTATTTATATAGATCAAGTAAAAGTTTAGAGCCATGAATCAAAGAACTGAAGGAAGAAACTGCTGGCTGGAAAGGTTGGGAGAAATGGCTTGTGTTCATATTGTTTAAACTTATTCTAGGATCCCATTAACTCATGCATTTATGTTTGGTTTTGGCTCTAAAACGTACATAGACTGAATTTGGAAATTATTTTCCTATTTTTTTTTTTAAATCTTTATGGAGTGTTGGACTGCAGAAGGCACGGGGGATTCCCCTTTCCAGTTAGAGAGAGGGTTTACTTACTGGGACAGACTCCAAAGTTGTCAGCACTTTCCCAACAGCACTTTTCCTGCTTTTTCTGGGAAACAAATTCATTCTTGGGGTACCTCTGTGGTAAAAATCTTTTATCTTTTGGTCAACAGGTCTGAATCCCTTTGGTGGAAAACAATTGTTGCTTCCATCTGAAAGAGATTTGTTTGTGTCATTTGTTTGTGATCGTTTGTATGAATGTGTGTAGTGTGGGTGTCTGTGTTACTCTTAACATAAACATTTCTGTAGTTTTGTTATGTCAGTAAATCAATATTGACTTACTTCAATTGCCCTTCATGCTATTCACTGCATGAATGCTGGCTGAACTTTAGGGTGAACCAGTTCATTCTGTGATGGCATTGTCTGCAAAGATGGAGGTGATGTGGAGGTACTGAAGACAACCAACTCCTTGTACAAATTTTTATTCCATGGTTTTGAATTATTTATTCTGTGACAGTGAATGGGTGCGTGCCTCATGTCAATTTGTGCCAGCAATAAGAACAGCATTTTCAGAAATTAGGTTGAAATTAAGTGTTACCAAGCTGCAAGTGTCAGGACATAGACAGATCACTAGATGTAATCAGTTATAAAACCCCAAAGAAATGAATAAATAAATAAATGAAACAAACTGAAAGAAATTGCTCTTCCTCTGCACAGCTATGGCCAATTTGGGGGATTTACCTTCCTCTATAACACAGCCACAGGAAATCTCTAAAATGATTACTGAAAGTAGAAGAGTTACACTCAAGAAAGATCACTCTGTGCATGGTGTGTTTCTTACACTCCCGCAAGCATGCCTTTGCAACAGGATATTATTGGAGAGGGATTACAAAGGTAGATGGACCTGTTCTTATCAACATCTGGTGGATACTGTTCAAGAAACTGGATTAGACTCACATGCCTGGGTTGACAAAATCTGGCAGTTATGATTTTATGTCTTTGTTGGTGGACACACATTGCAGCTTAAACTCTAAAAATATAATTGGGTGTGAAATGGTTTTCCCCACCCAAGAAAGGCTTTTTTCAGTTTCAAAAAGTGTTTCAGTTCCAAACTGGGACAACATTAAGACAAGATTTTTTTTTTTTTTTTTCCCCTCTCCTGAAAAGATAAGAGGGTAGGGAGGCTTATTTGCCCAGGCAAGAAAAGTTCAATAATTAGGGCATATGTCTGTGATGTATGTGGGAGACAGATAAAAGTTCTGATCTGTCTTAGGCAAGGATGTGAACCTCTGTCTCCCTGAATGCAAGCAAAGGCTCCCAACATTTGGTGATAACTGCAATGGTAGGGTCTCTCTGCCTTTAATCAGGAATTCCATCCATGACCTTGTAAGCTGCTCTCTAGGAAATGTGGTGTATGTTCCCATGAGAAGACTTCCATTTTGAGGCATCAAGAGGGTGGTAGTGTTTTGTTGTGGTGTTTTGTATTTTTTTCTTTTTTTTTTTTGTGTGTGTCCCCCATCCCCACCTCCCGATGAAAACATTCTCTAGTGAGCAAATTCCCTACTGTCTTCACACAATGATGTCTTGAAATGCACTTCTGCTGTGGTCTCCAGAAGGCCTGCGAGATATTAGGTCAAGACAGATGTCTCATGAGATTTCAAGACACTAAAACTCTTGCCAGGTCATATTCCAAAATTTAGGAACAGCTCTTGCAGTTCTGCTCTTTCTTGGAGATACATTTGAGCTGAATTTTACTCCCAAATTATACAGGTCGGTGTGCTGTAATTTTGCCATTCGTTATTTCTACTATTTGTGTTTGAAAAGAAGTGTAAAGTGTTTCAAATACCATCAAAATACCATCAGGTCCATGGAGAGTAGTTTGTAAGTTTTTACTTATACCATATTCTGTTACTTTTAAAATGCAGAATTCTTAGGTTTGAGATATGCAAGTAACTTAGCTTTCCATTTGCTTTGCCTACATAAAAGGTTTAATTTATTAATTATCTCTTACCTGCTTCAACATATTGTAAATCAGTAGGAAAATAAAAACAATCTCTTTATATTCACGCATATTGCTGAGAGTGGAGTTATGCTGATTTTTTGTCAGAAAGTGACATTCTTAGGATCACAGGATACCTCAGCTTGGAGGGGACCTTGGGAGGTCTCTAGTCCAGCTTCCAGCTCAAAGCAGGGTCAGCTACGAGATTAGACCAGGTTTGCTGAGCTCTTCAATGATTTGAGTCTAGCAGTAACTTTGTCTTATTCCAGGTTCTAAGCTTGCCTCATAATTAATGACCTCTATCCTTCTGATGCAAGGTTTTCCCACAGGTTCCAGTGGAATCTATAGCACTGTGGTTGTAGCGATCTGCATAAATCTGTGATTTATGAAGTGCAGCTTTAGACTAGTTGTGGGGATTAGAGTCTTCCTGCGTGGCCATTACATGACCACACAGTCCTCAGAAAAATACTGTATTGGTGTTTGTTTTGGTCAAACCCTGTTATTTCCTGTGGATACACCTGCCACCACAGCAGGGTCTGTTTGAGAACCATGGTCTGGACTGAAACTTGCATTTGCTTTCAAGCAAAGAAGGTTTTGCTGCTGTTCCAATATGTTAATATGTGAAATGCTGGGGTCTGAACCCTGAGCCCTGAATTAAGGTTGACATATGGGTGATTCCCACAGCCCTTCATACAGAGGTGGTGAGTTTGCCTTATAGCTTCCCCCCAGGGTGCGGCCGGCCCTGCAGGGAGAGCCAGAAGGGAAATGAGCCCCAGGGGTCCCGCATTGAGTTGACAAAGGTCAGGTGTCTGCTTGGGGATAAAAGCTGGGACCACTTGCAGGGAGTCAGGAGTGTCTGTCTGTGGGGTGCACTCCCCAGACAGGGCAGACCTCCTGACTCTCCCTGGAGCTGGGCCCTGGTCTGTTTAGGCCTTTGCGAACGTGGGTGAATTGGTTGAGAGTCGCCATGTGGGCACCTTTCTCTTATGCGTTTAACTGGCTGGTTTGGCTGTTTCCCATGCCAACTATGGGAAACCTCGGCTCATTGTTTGTACCACCTGTTGTGGGCTGAGTCACATCTTTTGTGGGATCACTGGGGGTGGTGTTGTTTATGTACCAGCTGACTGACCTGTTTGTACCCCTGGCAGTCATTCATATCATAACGTTTGTGTCTACAATGCAGTCTGCGTATTGGATTCTCTTCCTGCTGGTTGTGTCGTTCCTGTTAGGCCTGGTCACTGGCAGAACAATATGACATTTGTTCCGAGCTGATTTTTCGTTTCTGGGGGAGACCTGCACATAGTCAGGATCTTGTCGACTCCTTTTTGTTCATTTTCCACTCTTCCTGATCACATAAACTCATGACTAGGCCTCAACTTAATTTGAATTAATTTCTCAGTCCCTGATTAGTACTTTTGTATTGAGACAGACCTGTACAACTTCTGGTTGAACTAGTGACATCTTGAATTCCAAAGTCTGGCTTTATCAGTCTGTCTTCTACCTCCATGTCAGTCTTCATGTCTGCAGTATGTCCATTTGCTAAACTCTTAATGATATCATTCAGAACAACAGCAACTAATTTATAGGAGGTTTCAAGTCTTAGTTCCCTTGTTATTCCATATATGTTCAGAGACATTTCTTACCTTCACTCATACAGAGAGAAATCCTACTTTATCATACATGATGATGATAGTTGGACAGGTTCCTTGGGTTGTACCCCAAACTGAAGTTCCAAGCCCAGGGTTTTCACAACCTTCTGTGAAATTAAATGAGGTTCATAAATTAGTTTTCATCTGTTGGCTTCCCCTCTTCAGCTATTGGTCTTGTCTTTGCCCTTGGCATAGCATTCAGAAAAGTCTTTTTGTAATTTGTTCCAACTCTTTTAATTTATTTGGCTGAATGTTTGTTTTTTAAAATTTCTTCTTGACAACTGTGTTTTCTCCTTTAACTCCTCAGCCTTCATTTTTTTTCCCACCTGTGTCTGTGTTTTGTAATTAGCTAGCAAAGGTTCATGAATTCTTTGATTTTTAGTCTGAATTAAAGATGTTTTATCAAGTGGGAAGGTTAATTTAGTCTATTTTTGAGGGAAAAAAATTACAATTATCATAGAACCCTTAATACTTAGAATGATAGTTTTGGGATGAGTTCTTAAAGGAATGTGGTGGGAGGATCTGTATTTTCTTTTGTCCCTGCCTCAGCTTTCCTGTTTCTCTGACAGTCTGTTTACTAGTTGTTTGTCTTTTGACACATGGTTCAACTCCACATGCTCCATGTGGTAAGTTATTAGCCATGAACCTTATAAACACTGCTGGAAGAACAACCGTTTAATCAACTATGACCAAAAGTAACCGTCAGTGTTTAAATGATATCAGACTTCTAACAGCAAGAGCTGGTCTAAATTGAATCAGATGTAGTTTGCTTTTTTAAAATAACTTTTATGGTTACTTTTGCATGCCTGGGCATAGCTGTGACTTTAAAGTGTTGCTCTTTCTCTCTCTACCTGAACTTACGATTTCAGCTCATAAGGCATCAAAGAAACACATTCTTCTAGTAGTATCCTGTCCCTCTTGACATGGTTTCCTTGATGTCCGTATCTCCTAGCAAACTGTAGGCAACTGAGCTGGTTGTGCTGAAGTTCCTTCTGAGGCACAGTCGGTTGAATTCATCTGGACTGTTGGTCAGTACTTCATGATGTATTCCACGTTGTCGGTGTGTCATCAAAATACAATTCGAAGAAATCAAGTATGGCTTTTTTCATAAAAAGCTGAATGTAGGTTGTATTACTTATATTTATTAGATAGTTTTTAGGTGTGTTTTCAGATATGTTTCAGGTACATTTCACTTCAGATTTGTAAAACTGGAGATACAGCATTAGGGTTTTGAAACCTTATGATTTGTATGTATTTGGAGGATGCACACTACATTTTCAGTCAAATAGATATTTGAAAAGTAAAGCTTGAAGAGTTAATTTTATATTAGTTTAAAAATAACTGCATTATTTATTATAATTTTGTGAGATAGTATTTATACTTTCTTTAAAATATTGTATTATAAAAAACCATAGTGTAAATATTTGGCTTACCACATGTATTGGAGTGTGTGGCTATAACTCTCTAAGTGAAAACAAATCTGGTCAGGAACATTATTTGGATATTAACAACATAATGATGACATGACTTACAGATTTCATGAAAAACTATATTAGTCTATGTATATTTAATGAAGTATGCTATATTTTTCTTAGTATGAAAATTTCTTTGTGGATGGACTATAAATCAGAAGCTAAGTTAGAGTCTTGAAATACAACAGCCATATGTTGCCATGGTACTGTAAGTCAAGATAAATGTTAAAGATGATAATGGATATGCATAATAAGGTGTAGCAAAACTGAACTAAAAACCTAATAGATTATTGAATCTCCCATGATTTTTACCACCTTTTCAACACTATTTTAAAAAATCACAGCTTGGTTATAGGATAAATTTCACTTCTGATATCCAGTAATTCTTATTTTAGGACTGTGATTAATGCTGCATACATGGAGAGAGCTAATGAATTTGTAATAGTGTAATTTTTGTCCATGTCAGTTAATCATATGCTCAGATTTTTATTTTTTTCAAGGTGCATTTAGTTAAGGATATTGTACTAATCTCAGTCACACAATATCCCACTGATAATATTTCTCATTTGTCCAGTTGTATATGATAACATTTTCATGTAATTAAAATATAAATTCTGTCTTGTCCTGTGTATAGTAGCAAAGACCAGTTTTGATCAGCAGGTTCAATTTTTTCCAATCTTTTATGTAAGATAAAGCTTTTATGTATGTTTTTTATATTTCTGGTTTTGGCATTTGATCTATGCTATTATCTGCTTATCATTTAAAGAGGGTAAAATGCTCTCTAATTAGGTGGTTGGTAAAATTTTGGTACTTTGCCTTTCTGTGTTGTTGTTAGCCATGCATAAAATGCTTTCCTATTGATCAGCGTAGAATAGCCAGGGTTTAAACAGCTGACATCTGCTTACTTTAAAAAAAGAAAAAGAAAACAGAATAACAAACCATTTCAGCCTAATCTACCTCAAATGTGTGCATGTAAATGGGGGTCCATCTATTGACCTGCATTCTTTTCAGTTGTGGATTGGTCCACATGGTTTATGAAACCAGGAAGGCTGATTTGAAATGCAGATGTCGAGACAGTGAACTACACCCTCCCCTTTTTCCTTTGCTGTATCTGTCAGGGTGAAAAATGGCTTGCACAAGGGTCAGTCACCCATACTCACTTAATTACTTTCCTTGGACCTACAGAACTGTCACAAGCTGTGGTGGATGCAGGCGCTGTTCCTCTTTTAGTGCTCTGTATCCAGGAGCCAGAAATCGCTTTGAAAAGGATTGCTGCTTCAACTCTCAGTGATATTTCAAAGCATTCTCCAGAGTTAGCACAGACAGTAGTGGATGCAGGAGCTATCGCTCACTTAGCTCAGATGATCCTGAACCCTGATGCTAAACTGAAGGTACATTTAAAAATTACTTTTTAAAAAAATCTCCGTTATAGAAGTCATTACTTGATACTGAATCAAAGACACTGATGTGCGTGTCTATTTAGGAGGCTCTTGTTTTGGGTGTTAACAAAATGTGACTACCTAGTTAGTGACAAAGAGTTCTGAACATATTCACAGATTTAGCTGCTGGATAAAAGCTGCCGCTCTGTGAGAAACAGCTAAACTAATCTTTGAAGTGGATAGTATGAATTTGTTTTTTAATTATGTAGCATGCAAGGAATGCAACAGATATTTTTAATAGATAAAATTTGCACAATTCAGTTACAAAAAGGTTTTGCATACTTAAGATTATACTATAAACTAGTTAATATGAAACGTATTACTGTATTTTTCAGTGTGCTGTCTGATGTGAATAGCTGTTTTCAAAGGTTTAATCACCAGTTTAATTGACAAAAAAATATTTTGTAATATCATTTTTCTGTCTTACTCTAACAGAAACAGAAGACAACATAAAAATGCCACTTCAAACAATAGATAAAAATTCTTTAATATAAGAGCCGAAAGACCAAACTCCTGCAAACAAAGATACATCCTATAGATTTCACTACATTTTAAATTACCGTTTTAAATGGTGTATATATATTTTTTCTTTTTTAATACACAGCAAGCTTGAATGGGATAAAACAAAGGAGAAACTTTTTTTCAGGAACCAGTGAATGTTCCATGCCATTATATGCATGCATGAATTGACTCAGTGAATTGTAAAATAGCTGTAATTGTTTTCCCTATCCTGCTTTGTTTTCCTTGATGCAATAGATTTTTGTGTGCAGGACTGTGTGGTGTGGGATGTTTGTATACTATTGATTTTATAACAATTTTTATTTACTAGCGTCAGGTGCTGTCAGCGCTAAGCCAAATAGCAAAGCATTCGGTGGCTCTTGCAGAATTGGTGGTTGAAGCAGAAATTTTCCCAGTTGTGCTCACATGCCTGAAGGACTCAGATGAATATGTCAAGAAAAATGGTGCAACTTTAATTAGAGAGATAGCAAAGCATACGCCTGAGGTAAAACCTTGAAAATGCAAATACAAGGTCATATCATTAGATTTTACACTGTAAATAAAATACAGGATTATTCTGTCATTTGCTTTTCGAAAGGGAGGGCAAATGGCTGTTTGGCATGTTTATTGGAAAAATATGGAAATGCTTGCTGATATGAGATGTGTATTGAATATGAATTGGGTTAAGAAACTGGGAATCATATAATGTATACCTGGCTACTTCATTCCATAAGATATCTGCATAGAGAGGGAGTTTTAGGCTGACAGGATTGTCAGTCCTAGATATTAAAATTATCATAAGAAAAGCCTCACAGAAGTCACGATACCAGCTAATAAATGACAAGATCATCCTATAACAATAATAGATGATGTGTGTCTTTTAAAAAAATATTCTGGGGTGCTGGGATCACATTTTAGTTATTTTTCCAATAACAATGAATGTAAAAAGTTGTCTTCTTGGTTATTAAACTGATGGTAGTTTCTTTTATTAGGTTGAGTTTGTAATTTGAGTCTTGGCATTTGCAGTGTTTTTTGCCAGTAATTGATACAGGAAGGTTGGGATGTTTAGCAGAGTCAATACAAAATAAATGGAAAAATCAAATAATTACAACTATGTTAATACATTAGACCACAGAAATAATTAAAAGGCTCTAAATATGACTCTGGAATGAAATGCAATGTATTTGTGGAACACACTAATGCTGAGCACAGCCATTTAAAAATCATGATACCAGCTTAACAACCGACAAGTGTTTAAACATGAAAATTGTGCTGTTTCTTGAGCCTGCTAGTCTTTAAGCTGTGAGTGATTAAAGGTTTCAGCCTTGTCACGTTTCCTGCTTTCTTCCTGCACCTCATAAGCAATGCAACTTCTATTTCTCCAAAAAGTGAAGAGGGGGGCACTAGAGTTGGAAGCCAGAGGCCAAACTCACAAGACTGCAGGTAAAGTCAGAAGAGCTGCTAGCATAGGATCCTCCATGCAAGGGGAATTTGCCATTCCAACAGCTCTCCAAAGGAGCTGTAGGAATTATCTTGGTGACTCCCAGTGGGAAGTCACAATCACATTTGACTTGAGTGACAGTGATCTCTGTCCAACTCTGAGCAACTCTGTTCAAGCAACACATGTTGCAGCACAGGCAGATTGGCAAACAATATTTCTATAAATAAATACAAATATTATAAACAAAAATATTTCTAGAGGAGCTGCTTGTGGCGGTCATGTGAGTGTTGTAGTTTTTGGATCTCAGCTCTCTATCTGCATATGCAGTAAAATTCATGTGAAAGTCAGGATCTGGGGGACTTGCAGTGGGGCCTGAGGGTTACAGCACTGGGGAATGTGTCTATGCAGGAGCTCTGTGCCTCCAAGTGCACATGACTGTGCCCGGACATAGGACTTGGTTGTCACTGGCTGCAGTTTGTAGTCATGTAAACAGTTTTTCTAAGTAAGAACTTTAACTTTCATCTAGCTGTTTCATGAATAAAACAATCCCCTTTTAAAGACTCCAAGGCAAAGGTAAATTTTATGTTTATAGTAATCAACTGGATTGGAAATCCATATGCTTCAGTTTTGCTCATTTAATTTTGACTTCTAAGAACATGCTTCTTTTGCTTTGGAATCTTTGGGAGAAATGGGATATGGCTAACAAGACAGAAGAAAATAATCATAATATTAAATTATTTTAATTTCTCTGCATTATTAATATTATACATACTCTACCGCTGTCCCTCAAGTGATGTGAGAAGTGATACGTTTCGGAAAGAAGCACGTTGCATAGCTTGATTATCATTTATAAGCAAGGCTATATAATTTGGCATTCTGGGGCAAATTCCACTGCCCATCAAGTGGGTTCCTTCGAAACCTCCCTCAGAATACCCTGGAACAGCTGAATGGTGTTGTCCAAGTCAGTTCTACGCATCCATGACAGTTGATTTTGGCTTCATGCCTCAGTGGAGAGGATCCACAAAGGCTTTTCTGCTGCAGAGGTTATCCAGAATGCAGGTGCGAGGAGGGATGTGCCTTTCCCTCTCTTCTGTGCACAGAACATAGGATGCTCTTGGGATGGCTTGGGAGTGAGTGGGCACTAGTATGAAGGAATATCTGGCTCTGTAGGTGGGTCTTCAAGGGCATTCATGTTTTAGGCTCTCATTTGCGTATTTCTTTGGAGTAGAGTACAATAATGGAGTTGAGAATATGTCATTCCATACTATACAGTATCAAGAATTCAGAGTCCTGATTTCCTTGCAGTGAAGTCGATGAAAAAGAGTAGCGAAACAGCTTCATTCCAGAGAACTTCATGCTGCACTTAGTGCCCAACACTCTGTATGATACATCACTCTTTTTCCAGCTTTATTTTGTAAATCAGGAGCAATGCATTTAAAGTCTTTTCTAATGTAGTGTTTTATGCCTGTTGATACTTCACAGTATCTAATCTCTTCCATTTATCTTTCCAGCTTTCACAGCTGATAGTAAATGCAGGCGGAGTTGCTGCTGTGATTGATTGTATTGGCAGCTGCAGAGGGACTGTCAGACTGCCTGGCATCATGATGCTTGGTTATGTAGCAGCTCATTCGGAGAACTTGTCAATGGCAGTGATTGTCTCCAAGGTTAGCTATCACTTTGTCGTCTTCCTATAATGCTTCAGTCTTCCTATAATGCTTCGGTGGTATTCCGAGAAAGACGTGAATTAGCACAGGCAGAGAATGTATTTTGTGACAGAATTACATACTTGTTGATGAATACACTTCCTTCAAATATTGACGCTTGCTACGGCTGAAATTGTGGTAACCTGATCAAAGCGTGTCTTCATGAAGTTGAACCTTTCATAAAATGTCCTCGTGAGCATCTATTTGTATTATAGTATGTGATTTTTCTGTGATGCAATTGCATGGGTAAAGAAAATAAGTCAGTGAATTTCTATGGTCTGTTTCCTCTTAAAATGAATATTTGTGGCTACATCAAAACCCTTTTTTGAAACAAGAATGTTTAATGGCACATTCTTCATTGCACTAGCATGAATCTCCTAGTACTGCTAGTGTAGTCTTGCCAGAGAAGTCTTCAAACTTTTTAAAAGACCTCAGTTTCTGATATAGTATGGTTTGATTCAGTTGCACAAGTGGCGTTTCAAATGAGATAAGCTATGCATTTTCAGGTTTAGATAAATTCTGCTGGGCAATGATATCAAAGCAAGAGAATCTGCAATATTCACAATAGGTGAAATTAGTGCTTGACATAATATTCTGATCTGAATAATGCTAACTGATGACAGGAGGAAGGAAGTAATTTCACTGGGCATTGTGGGCCCATTTTTACACTGTGTCAGGCATCTAAAATACACTATATGGGTGGAAACAGCAGAACAATAAAACCAGAGGAACAGAAATATCTTAGTAGGAATGCAAGTTAAAAAATGGAAATTGCTACGTAACATCAATAAGTACGCAGAGAAGGTCGGAGTGATTAAAAAAAAAAACTCTTCTGCATTTGAAATCTAAAGAATTAGACACTTTTTCCTTGCCGTCTCTGGATGTGTCTCTGTCTTTCCACTTTCAGGGATGCCTAGAGCAAATATGCTCCTGCTGTTGAGTGCTTGATGTTAAGTGGGATGAATCCAAGATTAAGTTAATAAAGAAGCGCCTAAGTGATAAATTTTTTGAGAGTAATAATGGTTGCTACCATAATGGAATGGGATTGCAGCAAGAGATTTTGTAGGGATCTGTGCAGACTCTCATGAAATTAAATATTTTAATTATCCACAAAAGAAACCCAAATAAACCCCAAAACAATTTTTAAAAAAAATGTTTCAGGGGAACTAAGCTTGTGGAGTGGTACATAGTGCCAAGGACAGGGCTTCGTAAACTGAAACCATTTCAAAGACGTGCACTGTGGTGTTAACACATGCAGTTGCATATCTGTGATGTCATGATGTAACATGATAACTCTGTTCCACAGTATTGCATCTTGGAGAGGATGAATTTTGAAAAATGATTTTGATATTGGAAAAGCATTTCATTGTGGTCTTCTGCTGCAGTGCAGTGGCAAATAAAAAGACAGTTCTGTCTTTGTGGTATTAAAGAGTGGAAGATGAAGCATTATTGGAAAAGAAAAGTTAATCTAACTGTACTAGTGCATATAGTTCTGCTGCTTGTATTCAAAAGGATCTTGGAAAAATAATGAAAAGTGTGCAGAAAAGACAAAAAAATGATCCATGGGATGAAGAAAAAGGTTTTCCAGTTAGAAGTTTAGTAGACTTGCCTTACCTGAAGTAGCATGATTCCCATTGAAGTATCCTGGCACATAATACCACCTACTAAGTAGCTCGATAATCCTGTGGAGAAAGGACTGTGACCCTGAACCAGAACTTCAGTAACAGCTGAAGTGAGTGAGGTATTGTCCACCTCTTGATGTCTGCAAGAGTTGGAACTTTTCTGGAAGTGATTGGATAAGTCAAACATGAAGTACTGTACTCAAGAAGAAATCGGTAAGTTGAAATTTAGCGCTGTGAATAAAAAAACCCCAAAGACTCAATGACTGAGCTCTTCTGGTCTCAAATTGCTTTCATAGGTTCATAAACACTCAAAATATTTTATTTTCATTCTGAGAAAACTAAAGCCTTTACTCTTAGTACAGCCTGAATTGTGTCGTGTCATGTCATGTATTCCTTTTATCCCTTAAATTTGTGTTAGCTCAGATTGCCTTCTGAGCTGGAACATTGAGTTTGTTTCTTTCTTTAACTAGATTTATTAAGATTTATTAAAAGCTCTTGTTAGTTATGATATGAAAATATGACACCACCAGCATGCGTTGTCTTATAGCTTGTTTTCGAAAAGTATAAATAGAGAAACATTTTCTAACAGTCTGTATTGGTTTCAAGTTGTCCTTCCTTGGTGTAGATTTGTAAAGGTTGTGCTTTTGATTAATGCTGCAGGGAATACCACCACTGTGTGCCTGCTTGCTAGAAGAACATGAAGATCATATTAAAGCAGCAGCTGCTTGGGCCTTGGGACAGATTGGAGGACATACTCCTGAGCATGCACGTGCTGTTGCAGTAGCAAATGTGCTGCCCACACTGCTTGCTATGTATATGGACACACACAGTTCAGAAGATCTTCAAATGAAAGCAAGTATATTTGTAGTATCTGCAGTATGAGCTATTTATTGTAACCAACAGGTATAAGCACTTAAAGCCTACGAAATCATTTGTGGTGTTATTGATGTTCATCGAGTCACAGATTTCCTGAGTATTGGGTGTCCGAAGGCTGCATGTCATTTATTAGGACTCTCTGATCCTAATGGGTGTGCATATGGTGCATATCAAATCATATGGTGCAGTCACAGCAGTCCAGTCCCTCATTTTCTTTTACAAAGTTTAGAACAGAGTTGCACACCCATAAATGCTATAATTTCTTGTGAGTGACTAATTTCTAATTACCTACTTTTCTCTTTTTTTGAAGTATGACCTCTTGTACAAAAATACTATACTCCTTGTAGTAGATCCTTACATTTTTATTATTACAAGAAAACTGTAACAAATAGCCAAAGCTCTGCTCTGAAAAGATGCAGCTGTTCATGTTTCAGGCCCTTCTTGTGTAGGTACTATTAGAGTTGCATTTTGGTAAAATGTATTTTTGAGCAACAGTTATTGAACCAGCTGAAAAGTATAATATGACAGGCTATGGGCTCCCATGTCATGCGACGTTTCTGTACATGCCACTGAAGTATAACGTTTCAGATCTGTAAAATAACTTTTGTATAGTCATTTTCAGTGGTCACCAAAATATCAAGGGCAAATTAGCTGTACCTCTAGTCCTACCCAAGAAGGTCATTGCTGCTTGTAGCAATCAACACTCAGTCTGTTTTCAGAAACTGAGCACTGATGCACAACGGTTGCACTCCCTCCTTCCCTCCCTGCCTGGACGGTAGTGCACTTTGCTATCCCAGACCAGCAGGCTCTCCTAGTAAGCCACTACTAAAATACAATCTTTTAAAATGTGTTTTGATTCAGTTTTCTTATTTTATTACAGTACTTCAATTTACTTAAAGAGTCTACTCCTGCTTCCATTGTAGTCAAAGGAAAATTGCCATTTCTTTGACTATAGATAACATAATAAGAATATGATGCACTGTAGGTTTTGAGGTTTAATAAATCTAAGTAGAAAATTGATTTTTCATTAACTGACTTGATAGATATCATAATCTTTATTCAGAAAATGCTTTTTCAGAATTCTGATCAATTTGCTTTTTTGACCAGACTTCGGTGATATAGAACGTGAATTCTTGTTTTCGCTAATGTCTTACTAGAAAAATTTTATTTTGAATTTCAATAGACTAAAAGAGCCTTAAAGAACATCCTTCAGAAATGCACGTATCTCCCAGCACTTGAACCACTGCTGCATGATGCCCCTCCCAATATTATGAAACACATTGTTGGGCAGTTTAGTAAGGTAAGAAAAGGCTCTGTTTGATAAGTAATATGTTAATTGTTTTCCATTTAGCAAGGAAGTTATCTTTCCAAAGATGAAGCCTCTCTGAAGGTCTCAGTTGTTTTCTTGGGATCCTCAAGCATCCACTGCAAAGCAGTTTGGAGCATCGCATTCTTTTATTTGATAAAGCAGGATACTGTTTCATCTGGAACCTGCTATAATTAATCTTAAGACTGGCAAATCTGTTTCTTATAAGCAACGTGTTTTTTCTTCCTTACCTCTTGAGCTTAAGTGGAATATTAACTCACGTGCAAATATTTTCACTGAGCCATGTATCACATAAATCTCAATCACATCTGTTTTAGACAAAGTACAAGCTGTAGAGGACTGAGTTAAGTCAGGTATTTTATAACAGTCTACAGTATAGTGGCTTCACCACTTTTATCCTCATTAATTTTCAGTCTCAATTAAGTGTAAAAAATCCCAATTTTTTTTCTCATATCTCTTTCTCAAAATTTGAAACTGTTGTCAATTACACTGTTGATTTGAAAACATAATGTAAAAAGTGGTACAATTTAATAAAAATATTTCAAGTTATTTAAAGTAATTGCTAACTAATGAGGAGGTTTCCAGCATTTGCAGTGTTCACTAGATGTTGGGAATCCTGCTCAACTATAGACTATCTTTTGGCAATACTCTGCAGCGTCATCTGTTAGCAGGGATACCAGGCTGTCTTGCTGACATGTTCTTTCTGGAAATGGCTAAGTAAAACACTCCTGATGTTCAGTTCTGATGATCACAGATCTGGAAGCACTACTGTTTGTAGTACAGAATCCTGATTACCTTGTCACACTTAGGTTTGTCCTGTCTTCTTGCCAAGTCTGTACAAAGATAGGAAATTTGCACAGAATCCAGTGCCTTTTGCTTCTCTGTGCTGACTGGAGCTATTAATGAGCTGAGTGCATAGTAATTGATTACCCTGTGTATAGATTTGCATGTTGTTTGCTGCTGGATATCAGCCATTGTTTTGTTCTTCTTCTCCTACGCAGTATTAAATAAACTGTGCTTGTCTGGCATTTAAAATTAAGTTCTCTGCAGTTAAAGAATTCTTCTGTCCTGTACCATAGCTTGGCAATTTCCTATTCTGGGAGCTGTGCTGTATTACATGTCTGGGCTTATTTATAGCATGGCAAAAGCCTTATTTCTGAGCTGTGCTTCAGAGTGGGATCCGATCTGTTCTCGCTGCTAGACTGTCAGTTTAGCATTCTCCTTTTCAGGGTCTGTGCAATTCTGTACTGTCTCCATTTGGACTGGGGGAAGGGACTGCATTTCAGAGGTGCTGTCTGTCCTTAGGGCCTCTTCCAAGAGAGTTTTCTGCTGTCTTATCCAGCCTGGGAATCACAGTGTGGAGGAGGAAGGCAAGGAAAGGGCCATATCCCATCTCCTTGCTAGTTCCTCCTTGGCCATTCTTGTTGTGGGACGTGGGGGGAAACAGCCGTATTTTCAGTTCTCTCAATGAAACGATCACAGTTGTTCCTGACACTTCTATGAAGCATATAATAGGGAAAATTCTCTGTGTTCCCCTTTTTTCTTCACTTGTCTGTTGATTTTGTACGGCCTAGAGGGACCGGAAAAATGAAGACTGCTTACCTATGTACATGGCAAAAATCTCATCCATCTTCTCCTTCATACTTTTAGGCACTCTCTTTCTCATTCAAGGCTCTTGCTTTACACTGAGATACAGTCAAATTTATGGCTTGATTTGTCTGGCCAGTGTGTAGGCTTACAAAATGCTTTTGCCTCTGTAGTATGTAGCTCTCAGAGTTGTTTTTAAACCTGTCTGGTTCTATTACAGATGCAGCTGATGGCTTGCCTTATCTCTCTTGCATAATTTTTTTTTCCTTTAAAAAGAAAACAACTATTGCAGCTTTGTGGGCCTGTGGATTACGTGCTGTCATTCTTCCTTGCCTGGCCCAGCTCCCACCTCCCTCCCTTCTTCCCTCTCTCCTTCCTTCCCTCCCTTCCTCCCTCCCTCTGGACAGAGCTGCATATTGGCATCATTCATGGAGCACAGAATGTATTGTCTGATCGTTTCTGCTTCTTGTCCCCTTTGGCTGCAAAAACTTCACATTTTTGCTTTGTGTGTGTGTTTGTAAAAGGCTTCCATGGCTACACAGTGTGTTGTAGGATTTTAATATCTAGGAATTTTAATAGTAGCATGTAGTGCATCTAGGCTGCATTGTTCACTTGCAACAATTCTCAGTATTGTTTCCATGCACTATCTATACTAGATCATTATGATGATATAAAATTCTGTTCTACATTTAAACTGTGGGAATTGACATAAAAGACCTGAATAACTTGGTTAGTGGAAGAGATGCAGTTGTTATTCCATGTTAGTGTTCTGTTTTTATTATCTATTTAAACTCCCCAATCTTATTGTCTCTACAGGAATAATTCAAGAAATATTACTTATGTAAAGATAAATATTCAATTCATTATTTTTATATATGCTGTGTATTAAAGTACATGTTAAATTATGTTATAACCATAAAAGGCTGGTTTATGACTCTTTTCCTGTACAGCTGGGTGTTAAAATACAGTAGTTGTTACAGATGTTACACCTCTGATGTTCCATTTTATCTGTCCTCTGAATTAGAAACAGATAAGCAATATTTGAGCTGAGTAGCATATAGATTCCTTCAAAAGAAAATTTTTTTTTTTTCTCAATACACTTTTCTGTGTGTAGGTGTTACCACATGACAGTAAAGCACGTCGTCTCTTTGTAACAACCGGGGGACTTAAAAAGGTTCAAGAAATAAAAGCAGAACCTGGGTCAGTTCTTCAGGAATATATCAACACTATTAACAATTGCTACCCAGAGGAAATAGTAAGGTAGGGAAAATGAAATTTAAAAAAATTAATGCTTATAATGTTGTTAGATGTTTTTCACCAGAAAAATAAAAAGCAAGGGGTAAAAATATTAATTTCACTCATACATTAATTTTATTTTTAATAGAACAGTGTAATATTTGGTAACAACCCCAATGGTAACACAACCACCAGACACATGCTTTTAAACACTTTCTCTTTTCTGGTTGTTTTTGGAATCAAATTTCTTTGTCTGTAAACAAAGACCAAATAATCAGGCTCTTGCAGGAAGCTGGGAAGAAAAATCAGTCCTGCACTACCCAGACAAACTCTGAGGCTTCAGTACAACTGCTGTCATGTTAATGAATGTCTGTGGGAAGTTTATTTTATCTTGGTAACTTAGTTATGGATTACTCAGGCTCCAAAATACAGGTATTGGTGAATCTTAGTTTGCATCCTTGACTTCCCTGAGAGCCTGTCTGAACCAGTGTATTCAGAGGCTCCTCTGAAAGTTCCTCTGATGTACAGATTTGTGTGTGTCTCTCCTGCACAGTTGTTCTGTCCACAGCTGCCCTTCTTCTGCCAGCCTCATCATGAGGCTTAAGTGTTATATAAAAGGACCATACACCAGCTGTCTGCACCAAGTTGAACTTTGCCCTTAATGAATACAGAAACACTCTTAAATAGCTTATAGTCAAAATGTCACCATCCTAAATTGTAATAATGAGAGAAATGCCCTCCTAGATTCTAGATATCCATTTACCAGTCCTTCACTCCATCAACACATCAAAAGGATGTTGTACTTGTGCACTCCCTCTACAGGCTCTGAAAATCTGCATCATCAATTTTAATTATAGCAACAGAGTTCTTCAGCTAATAGTAGCTACAGAGTAAGTCATATAAAATGAAGCCTTGTTTGTTTCCACAAGGAAAAGCCAGTGGCTGTCAAACGGGTAAAAGCAAAATCATAAAGAAACTTTATTCTGCAGCTAATACTTCAGAGATTGCTTACGCTTTTCTGGATATAATTAATGTTTCTTTGTTGTAGCTATTTTTTTCCCAGTAAATGAAACAGGGTTACTCATGTAGGCTGGGATGTAATAAAGAAAAGGGCCCCTTTGAGCATCTCCTGCTTGCCTCTTTGTGCTACTGCCTGATGTTGGCTGTGCTGCCTGAGGCACAGCTGCTATAATAGACTCCAGCTCTGGGTTTGTCCTGGAGACCTGTTATTTCAGACCACTGGCAGACTAAATATAATAATGCATTGAAAAGTTAGCGTCACAATCGGGGAACTAAAATGAGTTTTAAAGAGAGTGACATTATGCAGAAATCATCCAGAAAATGAAAATCAACAAGGTAAATGGATCTTCCTTAAGTGTGAAAACGCTGGGGATTTCTCCCTGAATATATTTTAGGCATGCATTACATGGAAGTGTGTTCCTCTCTCTTTATAGTTAAAGCTTGCAGGGCTCAGAGGTGACAATTTACATGCCTGCAAATCCAGAAATGTACTGAGATCTACTTTTTTAGAATAACACAGTAATAAATTTCAGACACTCCTAACCTGAAAAATAACTAAATGCAGTTTTGGTGATACTTGCATATTGGAAGTATGTAGTTGGTCCATTGTGGAAAACCAACTGAATGACAGCAGGACAATAATGGCACCATAGAGTCCTACTCTAATGAAAACCTATTGGATAATCTCAGTCCTTGAGTTGGCATTAGAGAGAGAAGGTCATTGTGATAATTTTTTTTGTTCCAGAACCAATGTCTCTCACACTGATGTAGATTTCACATTAGCTTTGGGGTGTGTGCTTATGTTTGATGAGCAGCAGTAGCTATTGTTGTCTGGCAGCCTATTGTTCTGTGTAAACTCATGCTTTTTATTAAAAGCCATAATTTCAAAAGAAGTTAACATCTACATTTCTCAGTCGAGACAATGCTTATGGCTGCTGACCCTATCTAAAAACTAGCCACTTACCTACATGCTCTAAAAGAAGCTAAACATATTTTTGAAAACCTGACTTCCAAGTATGAATGATAAAGTAAGTTGAAAAGCAGGCTCTTAAAACATTGTAGGGGAATAATGGCAGAATTCTTTGACCAGTGTTTAGTGCTAGGATTTTTTTCCTGATCAATAGAAATATGAATAGTGTTTCATTACTTAGCACAGAACATGCCTTGTAGTCTAATGCACACAAAAAATGTTTCTCTTTCAGGTATTATTCCCCTGGATATTCTGAGATACTTCTGGAAAGGGTGGAAAATTACCATCCAGTTTTATAAACTTCAATTTTTATTAGAGCTGTATTTCACATTGATGCCTTTATGACTGTAATACAAATACAGCTGTTGAAACTCTTGTTTGATTCTGAAATCTCCTTCTACTGTCTGAACTACTGAAAGAGCTCAGAAATTCTAGCAAGCTACATTTTGTTCTTTATAAAGTTGTTTGTTGCTAAGTTTTTGTTCCTTCTTGTTTTTCTCTAACTTTACTACGAGATATGGCAGCATATATGAGTGGACTTTCATGCAGGGTGATGATTTATCACAGAAGCTTTTTTAAAGCCAGTCATTTCCTTTTCCTTCCACAAGAAAGGTTTGTTATTATCTCATTCAAATTTTAGCCTTCTCAGTACTGTAACCATTTTCCCCTTTTGCCTGCATATTGTTTAGAGCTTCCCAAGCTTCATGAGGGGGGAAAAAGCTGGCCCTTGTGCTTTTTCTAATTATGGAATCCATTCTGCACTGAGGTATTTTATACTTCTACCTTTCAGAAAGTAAAGTGATGGGATTTTGCATCTCCGAACATGTTCATAGGTGCTAAATAAAGAAATGACTAGATCTGATGGTGATAAAAGGGCTGAATTCTGCGTGATATGATACTCTGGTGGTCCTGTCATAGTACATAACAGATCAGCAAAAGTCCTCCTAATTAGTGGAGGATTCACTGTGGAGGGAAGGAGCAATACACTATTTGGTGTATGCATCATTCTTCCTCTTGGAAAGGACAGAGTGAACTTAGAAATTCCAAGGGCAAAAAAGGGAAGGACCCTAGAAGGGTCATCTCTGTTTGGGTCGGCAGCAAATTTGTGCAGCTCAGAAGAGATTTCTTGGCTTTGGCAATATTGTTATCAACGTTCTGAGCATGTTCAGAGGAAACTTGAGATTCAGAGGATGCTTGAGTCCCACTGCTTTGAGTGATGGGACTGAGGCTGCTCAGCACATATTCTTCAAGAACTGAAATTGCTGCAGCATTGCGTTGAAAGGCACTTGGAACTTAGTCTTGAAGTTGCAGATCACGTTGATGTGGAGGTTATTAGAGGTATGAGGTCTTCTTGCCTGTCTGAAGAACATCCTGGAAATATTTTTGCCTTCTTATGTAGATTGAAAAGACTTTTACATTCTGCTTACTCCTCTGGTATATTGTAGCAACAAATATGTAACTATTGTTTACCATTATATGTTCTTGTAGACGTTTTTCTTTTCCTCATATGCAGCAGTTTTGGTTGGTTGTTTTTTTTTTTTTTTTTTTTCCTCTCTTCTTTTTTTTCTTTCAAGAGTAATAACCGGTTTCTGGAACAGGATTTTGAAATACTGGCAGCCACAAGGAAAGACAATATTTGAAAACCCCCACAGGAGAGAAACTTGTCTACATTCTTAAACATATTGACTGAATGCGTTTATAAACCAGAGATGGTCTCTTCTGTTACTTGTAAAACAGGACCACAGACTTATTGCAATTGGAAATGATTTAAAGTGGGTTTTCTCTGCCAAATTCCAAATGACTATTTTGTTTGATTCTTGTCAGCATGTTTTTAAACAGTTCACAAAAACATTGATGGGCTATTTTGTGTTTAGATCTAATTCTGCAGAGGGCTGTGGTCCCTCTGTGAGGTAACTGGTGCTCACAGACTCTGCCCTTCAGGAGGAGCCGGGGATGCATCCCAGTACCTTGCTGTATGGAGCCTGAGATGGAATTACATGATTGGTGTCATGAATGCTAGTATGGAAACCACACCAGCTGGGTTCTTTCCTTAGCCCACATCAGATTGAAAAGTCTTGGAACTGACTAGCTTCTATCAAATGCCTTTTTGTTTTTGATGTTTATATTCTGACATTATTAATGCTGGGACATTAGTGGGAAAACTTTTGGTCTATTAGAAAGGTTGTTGTAATACCCGATACATGCATTATGGGTATTTACAAATCAAATCTTGTACAAGGTCTAAAAGAAAATGTAACGGAAAGGCTTGCAGACAGTCTTGAAGGATCTGAGGGCTTTATTTTCTCTAGCAGAACAGAAATGGTGCGGAGAGGACTGAATGCAGTTGCAGCGCAGATGGAAGGCGGGGGAGGCATGGAGCTGCATACCCATAGCTGCATCATGTGCTGGGGGGCACACCCACACCACACAATGCTAATGTATACGTTTTGTGCAGCGAGAGCAAAGAGGCTTCAGTCCCCTGACAAATGTGCTCCTGCTGTGTCTCACTGTGCTACACTGTAAGGATTCCACAGGGTTAAATTTCAATGCCTAAACAATTTGTTCACAGTCTTTTCACAGTCTTTTTCTGATTCCTGACAAAGGAAATGATTGCACAAGGCAAACCTTCAAAGCGATCTGATTGTGCAGAGCACAATCTAAATCAGACCTAGCATAAGTACATCTTTACACCAGCTAGGCACTTCTGTCTTAGGCCAGTGGCTGTTTCATGGAATCATAGGATGGCCTCTTGCCACAGGATTCTCCTGGACAGTGCCACATCCCATTAGGCTGTGGCAATGTAAGTTTTTCTCCCACATAGTTTGAGACCCCTTCAGCTGTCCCTGGCTGGCAGGCTGCTTCCCTGCATTGTACGTACACCTTATGGCTGGAGGTTTCCCTGGAGGTACATGTCTGCTCAAGGCAGATCTAGCCCCTTTTGGCAGAATTATTGCTAATTTGTATTGCAGGATGATATTACTAGGGCAAGAGTTGATTTTTTTCCTGTAGTGTTTCACAAGCTCTGATGTGGAGTGTTTCACAAGCTCTGATGTGGAGTGTTTCAATTCTACCTTCTCATTTGGCTTAAGTCATCATCTAAAACTATATTCATGTTTGTAATTGCTACTTTGGCAGGCTTCAAGTGTGTATCATTTGTCTAAATTTAATAGAATAAAATGCAGATTTACATTTTAATTCATTGTGTAAATGCTGTTTTAATGCTAGTTTGTGACTATGATGTTAGAGAAGATGAAGAACAGGCTCATTTTGCAGCTTGAGTCTGACACCACTTTTGGGTATTTGTCTCAGCTTACCATTCAACAGTGCCTGCTTCTGAGCTTAGGACGTACAAGCATTTCAAGTAAGAGTCCCACTCACAGAGGTGGCTTATTAAGACACACAAAGAAAATTAAGCCAGTGCTTTGGCAGAAAAAAAAAATGTAAGTGGAGACAGCCCTTCAATAATTTTGCCAGTTCCTTTGACTGCAGCATTGGGACCTTTCAACCCAAGCCTTTAAAGATCTTTGAGGGCCTGGCCATGATTTTTATCTACATTACTACAGCTATTACTGCACCTACAGTTGTAAACCAGGGCCTTGAAAGAACATGTGGATGTGTAAAACTTTACCATATTTCATTCAGTGGATGGATTAAGTGGCCTACAAAAGCTCCATTCTTTATCTGAATGACTGGAAACCAAGAGGATCTGAAAAGGGGAAATTCAAGGAGTTTAACTCTTGTGCATATAATATGTTCTGCATTTCCAGAGGGATTTACCAAGGGATTGCTTTGTCTCATCTGAAGTGATCAATCTGCTGGAGATCTGCATCTTAACAAACAAATGAAAAAAGCGTTGAAGGAGCTGAATGGAACTGGTGAAGGAAGAAATGAATCTCATTTTGTGAAGTAAAGCATAAAGTTACTGTAATTAGGAAGTGGGTGGAGAGTGGGTAGATCCTCAGTGTTTTTTTTGGTCTAGGGGTTGTGAATTTACCTTGGCCAAAAGTGAGTTTTAGGCATGGAGGATGCCATGGGACAGCCTTCAGCTTCTGGTATAAATTGGAGTCCTCTGGTTTCTGGGCATGTAGGGGTGGCTAACTATTGTCCTCTCAGGTGAGTAGACTGTGAAAGCATGCTTGCCTCATGATCTTCCTTAGTGACTGCTCGGTGACCAATATCTTGGTTGTTAAGAGTTTTAGATCTCACTATGTGACCAGGGTGGAAAAAAAATCTGGAATAGCACTATGTTACAAAGCCAGTGGTTCCACTTCTTGCACTGACATAGGACGGCTTTTAAGGTCTTGGCTAATCATTACAAATCCCTTTGTACCATCATCTTCAGCTGTGAAGTATCTGTTATATTCCTTTGTTAACCTGCAGACGTGCTGGGGAGATTAAATTCATATGAGAGGTCAATGCAGTAAAACTTAAGTGCTTTATAACTACTACTATAGTCAGAAAGGAACATTGTCCAAGAACCTACAAAAATTTACCTAAAGAATCTTTGAGATGCTTATTTTTAGAATTTGAGCTGAACTGAAAGCCAGTGGATTTTGTGAGGTTCCTCACCTGACACAATTTGAAGGGATCTTGGAGAAAGAGGAAATTACACTGTCTCTCATGACTATACTAAAACCATTGATGTCATTTTTATATAATACTTAACTGTTAATATTGATGCTACTAGGCTGTATTCTGCAGTCAGCTCTATAACTTAGCTAGTGAAAATACTAATTACATTATTACCGTCGTACTGTATTTCTAGATCTTGCATGAAAGATTGAAATAGGAAATACATATAAGCAATACTAAAGCATATTTTGATGATGAGAATGCCTGTTAAACCAGGAAATGGTATTGTGCTGCTTTGCAATGAGCTGCTCTTACTTGGGTTAAATACTTCTCGTAGTTATTTGTATTCCCACCCACCCAGAGGTCCGATCTCGAGGCTCGCTGAGTGCTCAGCAAAGTGCTGAATGCTCATGATCCACTGTCTGTAGCAGAAACCAGTTGTGTCACTATCATGCATCAGCAAGCTATGGAGAAGAATAGTGTGAGTGTATTAATGTCATCATCTGAACAGATTTCCACGGTGACTTTGAAGGCTTGCTTTTTCCTCATAAAAATATGCTTGTTGCCATTGGTTCCTACCTCCAAAATGAGTTGAAGAATAGGTGCCCCAATTAACTTTAGGTATTCTATACTTCATTCATGTTATAACAAAAATTTGATTTTGAGAGAGGGGAAAGTGTGTTAAAACAAATTTATTTTTTTTTTTTGTCAAAATCGGCAACAAAACTCATAATCTTGTGACAAGATCTGTGCCCTTTGCTCTCAAGGCAAGTTTTGTATTCACTGATGCAGACTAGTGATGCGTTTTATCCCTGTTGTCCTGTTTATAATTAGGACTGATGGCCTCTGTACATATTCACCTTTCAATATTAGGTCAGTGTTAAAGCCATTATCAACCTGAAA